TGCCCCTTTCTTGTTTCTGTTCGTGGCAGATGTGTTAGCACATTATCTAGCAAGATTGGAAGGGCCGGAAGGGTTGGTTTTACCTGGGTGTAGAAACTCACTACAAGATATGGCAGTGACAGCAGAAAATTAGTTGAAATCTAGTGCCTATACTGATGACATAGGAATAATAGCAACAGGCTCCCTGGAAAGCATGAGCAAGGTCAAGGAGGATTTGGATTTTTTTAACTTCGCAGCGGGCTCAAAAATAAACTAGGGAAAATCAATGGGAATATGGTTATCAAATTCAGACCTGCCAAGCTGGGAAGAGGAGTGGGACTTCAAGTGGCTGAAACAAGGGGAAACAACAAGATACCTAGGTTTCCAAGTGGGCCGGGACTATGACCCCCTCCCACAGAATCAAAAAGTAGTTGACAAATTCAAAGATCAATTGAAATTCTGGGCATCATGAAAGTTGTCCTTCTCGGCAAAATGTGTAGTGGCGAACAATATTGTGCTAGGGGTAATATGGTTTCTGGCAGCAACATGGAACCTAGACAAGAAAACATTAAAAGATATGAACAAGCTAATCAGGACATATGTATGGAAGGGACAAGTAACAGTTTCAAAAGGAGGGGCAAAGGTTGGATGGAGCTTGGTCACAAAAGCAAAGAAGGATGGGGGGATAAATATAATTAATATAGAAGAGCAATGCAAGGCTCCATTATTCAAGGTCTTCCATCGAATGTATATGCCCAGAAACCAGCCATGGAAACTACTATTGTACCACCAATTGCTAAAGGTCATCCTTGATAGACTAGAACATAGAAGGCAGAATTGGGGAAAAGATGAAAAGTGGCACTTTGCTAACTGCACCTTAAAAATGCCAAGACCAAATACATTCTCAAAGAAACTATTCAAGTTATAGAAATAATTCAAAGGGAAGATGGGAAAAAGAAAATTGGCAAACAATTACAAAGTTGACCGACAACTAATATTTCTCAATAAACAGTTCCAATATAAAGGAAAATGCTTGGGAGAAACAAGAGACAGAGGAATAAACAAAGTATGTAAGGACGTGCACAGTGCCGGGAGGAGAACATTTGTAGAGGCCAACTCGATGCTAAAAGTGGGAGAAACAAAAAGAAATAGAGACATGCTAAAAGCTTTTTATGGTCTAGAAATCTTGATGCACCAGTTAAAAAAATTTGAAATGGCTTTTGATGACGCATGAAAGTATTGCAATTAGAGTGTTAGGGAAGTTAGAGAAATGACACCAATATGGTGGATAGCCAATGAAAAGGTAATATATATGGCAACTCAAGATCAAGCTAAATGTGTTGTTTTCAATGTTGGTGTGGCCAGTTGATTGCTACCATACAAAGTGCCCGAGGAAAGTATAAGACTGGACATATCAAAAGTAAAGCCCATACGGGTAATAAGCATGGATAAGAAAATAACATTGATAGATTCAACAATAACAAAAAGTTTCGTAGCTAGGCTGTATTGGTTTAGGCAACAAAAATTAAGCAAGTTGGTCTAGGATCCAATGAAATGGAACTAGCAAGGAAAAAAAAAAGGAAGAATTCTTTGCGCATGAGATAAAGTTGGGAAAACAACTCATTCAGCCAAGTAGTGACTCACTACTGGTATCAAGAATGAAGTGAGCCAACATACAAGACATGATACAGCAGGCTGCATTAAAAGGGCTGTGGAAAGGAAGATGGGCAACAAAAAGAAGATACCTTATGTGCTTGATTATGCAAAATTGGCTATCATCTAAACGAAATATACATCTTGCAAACCAATCCCGTGATAAATGTGGGGCAAGGGAGACACAAAGGCACATACTTTGGGAATGTGAAAGTGTACAAAATGTGTGGAGAAGCACATGCTAGTTTTTGCAATAACATTCCCAAAGACAAGTGTGCTTCACGTATGAAGTGACAGTGTGGGGTGAAGCTATTGTAGGAATATGAAATAGAACAGACTCTTGGAAATGGTTCTCAACACGAGAAAGGATGCCATGGTTTGATCAGCTCAACACAATAAAAACAGATATAGAAGGAGTATCCTCAAAGTTAGTGGACTTAATACAAGGAATTATGTTATGGGAAGTGTGGAAAGCCGGATGCAACAGAATTTTTAGCAACAAGCATGAAGAGCCAAAGATGGTGGTGTCATGGGTATGGACTAGAATGATTATAACAGCAGCAGCCTATGTCTTACAACTGGAAAAGAGAGGAGGGTGAAATAGGCTAAAAAAAGCTAAGAAAGAAGCACAAATTTAGCATTTCTTATGGAAGCAAGGGGAGGCAAGTACTCGGGAATGGATGTGGACACCACTAGATGAATGGTTTCAAGTGACATATCTAGGCAGACCTTCGGGATCCAATTCACGAGTAACCCCCATAGATACTTCCATAATAAGCCCTTCTAAATAAAGGCTTTTTGCTGGTTTCACACCCAGTTTTTTGGTGTTTTGCTGAAAAATAAAAAGCCCTATTTAACAAAGGTAAAGTTAATTTCCACGTAGGCATAGCTTTCTCCAATGCCCAGATTACCAAAGCCTCTTTTCCAATGGCACCTTGATTGCCTTCAATTTCTTAAGCATTTGGCTTTAGCAATGAATGGTGATCACTAACATCCTTTTGTAATCCTGGATCTTGCTCTCTTACCTCATGTAACATAGCACAGATCATGCCTATTGCTTGCTCACTACCCTTATCCGTGCCTGCTTTATACCCTAAATTTGTTTGGCACGAGAAGGGGCTCAAGAGTATTGAACGTTGCCTGACATCCACTCTGGTTGCTATGCTGCACCATCTTGAGAGACTGGACCACTTTGCCCATCGTTAGTCTCTGGTTCGCTTCTCAAGCGGCAGCTACCTAATCCATACCATATTGACTCTTTGTTGCCTTCTCTTGATCACTAGGGCCATTCCATCTTTCAAAATATTTTCCTAGATAACTTGTTAGGTGAAGGCAGCTTGGGGACGAGTCAAAAAAGAAAGCATTTGAGAAGGGTTTGATGCTTTAGTTAAAGAGGACGTGTGAACTGAATGAGAAAGAAAGTATGCAGAACTAGAGAGCTTGGCTAACCAACCTGATTTAGTTAAGCCAATCCTAAATTCCTAGTTGAACTTTGTCTTTGGGCACGTGCAAAACAATGATAGATGAAAGTACAGCACATCAAGCTTTTCCCACACTTGAAACTAACCTTGTGATCCAAAGAAGCCTTGACCCTTGTAGCCTCTTCATATATGAGAAACTAGATATTAAGCTGGTGTTAAAAGGCGACCATTGAGTTAACGAAGTTGGACAACACATTGTCGAGAAGTTACAAAGGAGCAACTATCGTACCACATGGATGACACTATAAAGTGAAAAAGGAAAGAAAATATATAATGAATCCTGTTTAGTGTCAGCCACCATCGAGCAGGAGCTACTGGTTGTAAGTTGTTCTAGGCAATTCGATCACAAAGTCTCGAAAGCTCTCATGATATATCCTGTATAGAAGACGCTAAACATGGGATGAGGACTACTTCACTTTTTCTGCCTAGGAAACACACCTAGGCGATGAGATCCAATCTCCATCTCCGGGGTATCTCCATCGCCAGCCACAGCGTCTGATCTGAAGCCAACACAGTCTATACGCAAGCCAATCGGCCAAGCGAAGGCAAGAATCTCCTGATAGAAAGATTATCGAGCTTCGGCAAGAGGGAGGAGTGAAGAGCAATCCATCGCAGGGAGAGAATTGAGCATTGAATAGAGAGAGAAATCCAACCTTCCAGCGCGCACACCACCTCCCTCTTCCTCATCCCGTCCACAAAGATATGAGCTTGGGAGGAGCCCTCAAATTTAAATACGTACCGGCATTTTATCGGTAAAGGTGTAAAGAGCCATTTTGTGCTATGCTCGTCAAAGTGCCATTCGAGGGCATTTGCCGGAATGCCTCAAACAGGAATAAAATTTTCTTAAATAAAACCATCAAAATAGCGATTGTGAGCAAATGTGAGTCATCAAACAACATAGTCTCACACCAACGCAAGGAAGTCTATTGGCACTCTGAAAAGATATTGCTGGTTTCAGCGAGGTTCGAACTCGCGACCAATTGCGTGATGCGCGTGATTTGAATCGTGCCTTTTAACTGTTCTATCTTTCGATCCTCCCGTCCATCGCCTGGCGTCTTCTCCCGGTTTAGTCGCGATTCACAGGGGACGAGAGCAAGCATTTGTTTGATCGAATGCGGCAGAGGGATCTAATCTCATGGAACTCTCCTCTCGGGCTTCGCCCACACGAAGCTGGGGAGCTGTTCTATCGAATGCCAGAGCGGAACATCGTCTCGGCGACCACGATTCTCACAGCCTATTCCCAGATCCCAGCTTGAAGAAGCCGCGGAGTCCATTCCCGGCCATGATCTTGTGCTGGATGATTGCATGACACCAAGATAATGTGTGATGCTCTCCCGGTATGCCCAGAACGGGCATGTCACCGAAGCCAGGCTCCTCTTTTCCAGCATGCCCGAGCGGGACAGAGTCTCGTGGAACGCAATGCTCACGGCTTACGCTCACAACTGTGAGCAAACCTCATCTTTGAGACGCTGCCAGATCGAGGAATGGTGACCTGGGCCGCTGTTCTTGCAGCCAACGCTCGCAATGGCCGCTACCGCGAAGCCATCGACGTGTTTGGAGAGATGAAGCTGCTGGATATGGTGGACGAAGTGTGCTTCGTGTCGGCCTTGATCGCTTGCAGCCGAGGAAAAACCGAGGATGGGCAATGCTGCCTCGTTTCGATGATCGGTGACTTTGTGCTGCGAGGGTCCAAGCAGCACTACAGCTGCATGGTGGACGCGCTCGCGCGATCCGGCAGATTGCGAGACTCGGAGGAGCTCATCGCGACCATGCCTTTCGTCCCGCGTCCGTGAGGACGAGCTTCTTGCAAGCTTGCAAGCAAGCAAAGGCATGGATCGTGGAGCTGCTCAAGCGTCACGGTCGGTTCTCGAGATTGAGGCGGAGAGCTCAGTCGGGTGCGTTTACTTGGGCTGAATCGCTGGCGGAATTTTCTTCCCGTTCTCGATACATGTTTGCGAGGAGCACGTAAGAGGCCGAGTCCTGCGGATTCAAGCCGAGGATCGTCTTGGCAGCGTCGGCCCCAACGTGGAGATTGCTGTAACTCCTGCTAGCTCCTAGCAAACACCTCCAGTCCGAGGCATCCGCCTTGAAAGGCATGGCTTCGATGAGATCTCTAGCCTCGCTTAAATGCCCGGATCGCGCAAGCATGTCTAGGACGCAGCAGTAGTGCTGCTTAGAGGGCTGGATTCCGAAATCCGCCATCATCGACTGGAAGTAACATCGCCCCAGGAAGACTTTCCCTGCGTGGCTGCAAGCTAGCAGGACGAGCACAAAGCAAATCTCGTCTGGTACTACATCGTCCAGTTTCATGGAGTCAAACACAAGGAGAGCTTCGTCTGATTGACCATGGTGGAAGTGAGCAGTCAACACCGCCGTCCACGAAAGAACATTTCTCTCCCACATCTCGTCAAACATTTTCCTCGTTTCAAGAAGATGCCCGACTTGGGCATTTGCAGTGATCATGGTGTTCCAAGACAGCGACGTTTGATATGGAAGCTTCACAAACAAATACTCTGCATCATGCATATTACCGTGTTGTGCCGTTGCGGACAAAATTGAATTCCACGATATCATATCGTGTTCTGGCATTGAATCAAACACAACTCTTGCCTCGTCAAGATGGAAGCATTGGCCATATGCTGATAGAATTGCGTTCCACGACACCAGATTTTTACTGCCCATCTCGTCGAAAATCTGCCTTGCTCGCTCGAGATTTCCGTTCTGAGCGTGTGCCGTGAGCATCGCATTGCACGCCGTGAGGCTGAGGTGCTCCATCCGATCAAATATCCCCTGGGCATCCTCCAAGTATCCATTGTGCGCGTAGGCCGAGAGCATGGCACTCAAGGAGATGTGATCCCACTGCTGCATCGACCACTCGAAAAGATTCCTTGCCTGTTCCAAGCTTCCGTTCTGGGAATACGCCGCCAGCATCGCGGTTTCCGAGACGAGGTTTTGCTCGGGCAGAGCCTCGAAGAGATTTTGTGCCTCTTCGAGTCTTCCATAGTTGCCAAACTCGGTGATCATCGTGGTGGTGGACACCAAGTCCCATTCCGGCATAAAATCGAAGAAGAATCTCTCGGCATCTTGGGTGGAGCCGAGCTGGGTATGTGCGACGAGAATGGCCGTGTAGGAGATGAGATTCCGTTCCTCCATTTGAGAGAATACACGCATGGCGAGCTCAACATGCCCGTCCTGAGCATATGCTGTTAGCATGATGGTAGAGGAGAGGACGTTGTGCTCTGGCTGGCAATCAAAGAGCTCCCTACACTGGGCTAGATTCCCATTTTGGGAATATCCCGTTAGAAGTGAATTCCACGACACGAGGCTTCTCACTGGCATCTCTTCGAAGAGCAGAATGGAGGTTTGTAGATGCCCACTTTGGGCATATACCATGAGCATGGCATTCCACGAGATAAGATTCTTCTCGGGCATTTGAGTGAACAGGAGCTGTGCTTCGTCGATATTCCGAGCCTGAGCATATGCCGAGAGCATCAAGTTCCAAGAGATGAGACTATGGAAAGGCATCTGGGAAGATAAGAAGCGGCTAGCGTGGTCGAGCTGCCCATTTCGTGTGTAGGAAATTAGCATCAAGTCCCAGGAGAAGAGATCCTTGGAATTTGGGGGAATGGAATCAAAGACTCCTCGAGCGCTTTCCCAGCTCCGGCATTTCCCGTATAGCTCGATGAGCTTGTTAAAAACGAAGACGTCTCTGGGATCGATCGAAGAATTTACGCGAGAATGGATAGCTCGAGCCTCTAGAAGGGTGTCGCAGGACTGGATTAGATCGAGGCAATGAGTTCTAGGACGAACGCTTTGCGCTAGCGCCCCATTCATATCAAAGAAGAGGCGGCGAGAATTAGGTCAGCATCTTTCAAAAGATTTTACTTCCCGGAGTGAATATGCCCTTATTCTATGGTCCCGTTTCTCAGCGATCGCCTGTAGGGTATCTGATTCTCGGGATTGCCTGTCTGCGAGCGTTGAGCGCCCGGTGGTGGAGATAGCGAAGAATTTCTCTCCGCGATCCATTGCGCGTGACATAGGGTTTGCGCTGGGCGCGCGCGCTGTTGTAGGAATCGATCGAGGCGATAGGGTTTGGAGCCGGAGCTAGGGCTTCTTGATCCTCGCCCAGAATGTCATAGGGTTTAGGGTTTGCGAGCAATTGGAAGCGAAATCGGTGGATTGCTCTGGAAATTCTCGCGCTACGATGATGGACGATAGCTACAAGCATGCTGGTATGCGCCTCGTATTCTAGATCCAGTTTGTTCTGACTTTACACATCAATTTCTACAGTTCCACTGTCGCCGCAGTGGTTGTCTGCCAAGCATGGTGATACAAAGCTCCCCGCGGTGAGCTCTTTTGATTTTTTTGCCAGTAGAATTCACACACTATTTACTTGTTCTCAGGAACTTCCGTCCACTCCGAAAGGAGGTGACCCGGATTCCAAGCGTGGGGATGGGGACAAGAAGAAAGATTGGTGGCGAACTTTATCTCCTGGCATTGGAACGCCGGATCGTGAGCGCTGGCGGGAAGACGAACGGGAAACTGTAGGAACTCGCAGAGATCGCTGGGTGGAGCCTGTCAATCGTGATCGGGATGCTTTTGACTCGAGACGAGATGGAAAGTGGAGCAACCGATGGGGTCCGGACGACAAAGAGAAGGAGTTTCGTCGAGAGAAGTGGCTGGCAGGTCGTTCGCCCGCGCCCTCTGCTCTACCAAAGTCTGCTCCAGGATTTGGTGCTGGCCGAGGCCGGGGAGTAGGGTCTGTTGGCTTTGCTGCTGGTCGTGGAAGAGCGAGTGGTACTACTCTTGGGTCTTACAGTGCTGCGTTGAGTGGAGGACACATTGGGGCTCCTCCACCAACCGTTGAGAAGCCAGGTAACTCTTTCAAGTATCCAAGAGCCAAGTTGCTGGATATATATCGGAAGTGTGGCGGAGCCTCTGGGTTTACCGAGAAGGAACTTAGCCCAGATGTGTCGGAGGTTTCTGAGTCTTCCCCAATGGATCCTTTGGCTTTTGTTACTCCAAATCCCGAGGAACAGGTTCGTTCAGCTAAGAATTTACGTTTCCTAACTTTTGTCTTGCTGTTTCAGCTTGTTTTGGAAAGCATTTGGAAGGGTAAAACTGTGAGCAGCATCAGTTCGAATGGTAGAAGTAAGAGGCTTTCTGAGGCTACGTCGAGAATGGATTCTGTCCTTCCAGGTAGGCTCACAAGTTTGCAAATACGAATTCTACAATAAAAACTCGTTACAGATGAAGAGAAGCTGGTGGTTGAGAAAATCGACACTATCGATACCTCTATTACTGAATATTCTTCGCCAACTGAGATCACCGATGAAGTGAAACACGTCGAGCCTCCTTTAGAAACTTTCGCTGAGGATATTAAATTACAGCAGGTTGATGTAGCGGAGAAGGAAAAGCAAGTTGTGCCGCCTGAGCCTGAGACGTTAAAACTTTTATATGTGGATCCGCAAGGAGATGTTCAAGGCCCTTTCTCAAGTGGTGACATCCTTCAGTGGTACGAGGCGGGTTATTTTGGGCCGGATCTACTCGTGCGAGACGCTTCTGCTCCAGAAGGCAGTCCTTTTATTCCTCTCGGGAGCGTCATGCCGCAACTTGTTCAAACTACCGAGCGAACAACAGTTATCGAGACAGCAAGAGGTACTTCTCTATTTTCAGGATCTGGCTTCTCTGATATTAGGCCATTTTATCTAGCAGACGAGCGTAAAGACAATGCTGATAAACAAAAGACGATCGCTAGTCAGACGGAGGTTTCTGGGCAGCTATTATCTTCGTTTCTTCATCCTCAAGTGCCGGGTTCACTTCCAGACGACAGCATTGTCGCTGCTGGTCGAAAGGATGAACACCTTGTCCAGCCTTTTATGCAAATGGAGAAACCTCCACGGTCGTTTGTCCACGAGCTGGAAGAGCTTGAGCTCGCGCGTCAACAGCAAGCCCAAGCCCTCGCCAGGCAACAAGTACAGCAGTCATCCCTCGACTTCCACATGCAACCCGGAGCTGTATCAGATCACTCTCCTCTTCACACCAAAAACTTACAGCGCTCTATGTCGGACTTTATTATGGACCCTCTTCGACGCGAGCAACTCCTAATGGAACAGCTTCCGTATCAGTACGAACAGCAACAAGTCCATCCCGGACTTTATGGCATCGAGAAGCAGATCATGCAACAACAGGAAGAGAGGCTGATAAACTCGCTGTCCGATCAGTATCTTCAGCTCATGCAGTCGAGACATCAACAAGATGTTCTTATGCACCTTTTGCAGCAGAAACAGCAAGAGCGTGAGCTCAGTAGACTCCTGAGTGCACCTCAAAACTTTCCGGAGAGGCGTATATCTGGAGTCTGGAAGGTTGACGATTCAGGATATCCGATGCGAGTTATGGATAACATGCACCAGCCTAGACTGCAGCATCAGTCCAGTTTGCCGGCATTATATGCTCGAGACGATCGTCTTCCTGGCCATGGTTTCGAAGAGCGCGATCGTCTTGAGCAGCTGGAACTCCAGACGCTTGCGGGGTTGCAGAGGGTCTCCAGCGAGAATTTTTTTCCGCAACCAAGGAATGAAGTTCATCAAGGTTTAACAAAGGAGGCACTTCAGGCTATCATATCAGGGGCAGGAAATCCATCCTCTCGGATACCGTCATGGGAAGAGCAGATGATGCAAGAGCAGTATTTGAAGAGCTTAGAGCGCAATCAGGCTTCGCTGGGTTTGGGAATAGCGGATCAGGTGGTACACAACCATAAGATGGATCGTCAGGGCTTGTCATCTCAGGAGTACATGCTTCAGCAGCTAATGAGGAACCAGCAACTTCACGAAAGAAAAGTATCAATAGAACGTGAGCTGCAGCCATCACTCTGGAATAACACGGCAGAGCCTGAAAACTTCAAGTGGCGGGGTGGACTGCAGCACAATGGAGTGTTCAGTAACAACATCCCTGCTAGTATGCCAGACAGCTACTTGAAGCACTCAGCGCCTCTGAATCAACAGGGAGTTGAAGTGCAAAAGGGGTTCCTATCTGGTAGTTTTCCTTCCTATGATGGCTTCGTGTCTGATGGTTTTCATGCGCCTGTTAGAGAGGTGGAGAACAGAAAGATGAAGCTAGCGACTCCCGTGGACTTGTCTAGCACGCAAGCTGGGAAGCTCGAGAACGGTATGCAAATGTCATCCACCAGACCTTTGCAAGCTGACGCCTCACAAAGCAGAGTTCACACAGGGATACAGGATTTCTTAACTAGTGAGAATACGTCAGCGCCAACGAATGTAAAACCTGAGTAAGTGTTCCTCTTTTTTAGTCCTAGCTGGTTTCTAACCGCTGCTTGTGGACAGTCTTGTAGATATTGTTTCGAACGGATTAGTTCCGAGCAACCAGCAAGGTAATCTCTCGGTTGAGGTGATTCTGTTTTCTTAAACTTGAGATGCAGGCTCTGTGATGCCCCTCGCTCCACAAAGTCTTCTCACGGCTGCTGATGTAAAGTCCTTTCGAAGCTGGTGTGAGACACAAATCAAGGAACTTACTGGCAGCAGTGGTACGTGCTTGGGCTTTCTGATACATGGAATCTGATCGCTTTCTTTCTTTGTGTGGTTGAAGATATGAGGCAGCTTGATTACTGTGTTTCGCTCCCGTCCGTGCTTGAGGCGGAGCGTTCCCTGACTCAGTATCTTGGAGAAAGCTCCGACGCCCAGGCTTTCAAAGGCGAATTCTTACGGTGTCGGGAGCTCATGACACCGCAGATGCTCCAAGTATTCAACAGCGGGCTTAAAAGCGATGCCAAAGTCGAGGGAGGCAGTCAGACTGTTTCCAAGAAGAAAACAAAGAAAGGCAAGAAGATAGTGGACCCGTCTCTTCTGGGATTTAGCGTCGCGAGCAACCGAATGCTCATGGGAGAGATCCAGTACGTGGATGATATGTGAGCTTCGATCAAAGTAAGACTTTCATGCTCTTGTATGATTGTCTTCTAAGTGTGGATTTCTTAGAGTTCCTTTGTTGAGAGTCTAGCTAGGAGAAGCGCGAGGGACGATCTAACATGCATAAAGGTATGCTTTCCGTAAAGGCAAGTTTTCATCTCTTTCGTTGTTTCAGGTCAAGTCAATGAGAAAATGGAGGAGGAGAACTCGTATGGACTCTCAAGCGTTTTTCTTTTCCGGTAATGTTGACTCGACTCTCTTCTGCGGAATTAACCATCGTGTGATCTTACAGTGGCTATCGTCGGAAAATCTCGCGGCACTGATAGAATAGATTGTTGAAATATGCTAACGCTTTGCTTAAGGCTCAGTGATTTGTGGTTTAACTAAACTAAGGTTATCCAATGTTGTGCAAGTGATCTCGAACCCACCCGAAGATGATTGTGAGGACTCACGACCACCAGTTTTTGCCACGATAGTAAAAAACCATGTCAACCCATGAGTTTTAAATAAGGGGTAAAACGAAAAAATATCGATCCCCTAATAGCAATTATCCATTAGCATACTTTTTTCCTTTTTAATTCCTTTAGCACCATACAAATGTGTCTCATAAAGTTTGTGGTAGAACTTGCCAACTCTCGAAAACCAACTTCATTCTTGCATCTTGAAATGATGTTCTCACAGTAAAGTAGCTACTACTAACTCGGCATAGCTTTACATCCAGCATAGCCAATGTAGTATCTATTAACACAGAGAATTTACCAAAATGGTGAGTGAGAGAGAAAAAATCTACTTTGCTTTGAATTCATTAGTAGGAATATTTTCAAAGCAATTTTTGAATGCAGTTCTAGAAAAAAAAACCTGCAATGTATGACAAAGTTGATGAGTATCTATTGTCACTTTTGCTGAATCCAATGTGCCTTCTGATAGATCACAGCAGCAACCCTGCTCTTGGCTTCCCCATGGATGATTCGGTAGATGGATCCCCATGGAGAGCTCCACGCTGGAGTCCAGGATGCAAACTCATAGCACACTCCATGCTTGGTTGCAGCACGAGAGAAGAGCAAGCGTGTCAATCCCTTTTGCCCCACTTCCTTGACATACATG